TCAGGGGTAACCAACAACCCCCCCCCCCCCCAAAACAAACAAAAACAATATTAAAAACTAGTGCAGAAGATCCACTGATATTGTGCAAGTTACCCCCTAATACCCAGACCATTAACGGACACTAAACACTGTAATCCCTGACTTCAATTCATGCCTCAAATTCACTAAATGATATGCACATGGCTAGTCTATCTAAACATTTCAATTTCTCTAAAGCAAACTCCAAATTTCAATAACCAAAGCATAACCGTGATGGAAGGGAGACTAACCCCTTCATAATAACAACTTTCAACAAATCAGATTCTACATATTAAAAAAATTTGATAAGTCTTAGTTAACTTCAATCAATGAATGAACCTCCAAAGCTCTGCTGGAATAAAGGAGTTAAAATCAATATTGCTGTCAAACCCCACAACAAAATCTCCATTGTAATTTTTGAAAAATCCCTTCGCAAGTGGCTTGCATTTTATTTTATCAAAAGGATGCATCCAAGACTTGAAACGGGAAAAATGCATTTTGCTAAATAAATAAATAAATAAAATAATGAGTGAAGGACCCAAGAAAAATGGTGGGCTTCACATTTCTAGTGGTTGGGCTTTTTCAAATTGTGCCTATTATTCATATGGATGAGGCTTAAGAACATTAAAAAATAAAGAAAAAGTGAATTGTTATTATTATTTATTATTTTGGTTGGGTGAGAAGTTACTATTGTATTCGCAGGCTTCTTTTTATTGTCAATGTCTTGTTGATGTGGTTCAGGATAGTGACAGTTATTCCCATGATTTACCTTAAGTTTTGCTGAATGTTACTATATCCTTATTCAACTCCTAGTAATACCATTTATATTTCCCCAATGTGAATTTAAACTGACTATGTGTGCCTTTTCTTTCTCAGCTTTATTTTATACTTTTCTACTTTGTGCAATGATGCCGATGAAGGAAAGAAGTTACTAAAAGCAGCCATGAATGCTCTTCTTACACTGCCTGTATCTGAAAACTCTGAAAGTATTCCGAGTGTCCAAAGTGACAGTGCAGACATAAAACCAATTGTGATCTGGAATGCATTTTATATTCAGAAATTAATTACGGTGTGCTTCTAATCCTGACTTGTTCACAGATTTCTTTCTTCAACGATGTTTACTTTTTACCTGCATATCGGATGTGCACTTGTTTCCTTTACTGCATCACTCATGACTCATTTGAATTATTTTTTATCATTATCGAGGCTCTACCCTCAATTCCCTTCTATTTTATCTTTTAAAATATTTGTTAATATTAAGAAAGTATCAGGGGCCCTAAGACCACATTACATTTTTCAAAGAACACAACCACTGGTAACTAGGCAGTTTTTTTTTAAGAGTTTTGTCATGACAAATGTGATTCAAAATTCAAACATGTGTAACATTGACACGGATTCCATTTTCTTGATTATGGATATACTGTGATCTCCTTTTCAGAGTAAATTTGAATTTATCAGCTCCACTCCTACACCGGATGGAAATCTGAACTACAATGACCTTTTAGATGCCACCGAGAAGGTTTGTCTTTGTTATTCTTCTTTTTTGAAATATAAATTTTTTCAGTATTTCAGTCTGACTTGTTGCTACTACTCAAATAGCTAGAAACGTAACAAAGTCTCTTGACCCAATGGTCATAAGGCTTGTTGTGTGATACAGGGGGGTTGACTTGGTATTCCAAGATCGATTTTTTGCAGTATAAAAATAATGTTTGGCCAGTGAAAATTATGTTCCATGGGCACAGATTAATTTTTAGTTGTTAGTTTTAAAATTATGTATGAAATATGTCTATGAACAAAAAAACCAGCTAAAAACCTTATTTCTGGACTAGTTTCTTGAGGAAACCAAATGGGAAAATATTTATGCACTCACGCATATGCTTTGGCAGAATGAATGCGTAAAGACCAAAAGAATTACATTCCTTGATTAATAGTAATTAGCCCTGTAACTGATGCTTACTAGTTTGGTGGTGATACTCTCACAGCTATTTGGTCAGATGTACCCCAATGAAGAATTCTTTCCAAAGGCAACATCACCTGAAGATCCTAAGGATGAAGATGAGGATGAGGATGAGGATGATGATGGGGAAGATAGTGGGATAACTCTGGAGAGCTAAGCAAGGTGAAACTGGGTGGGCATCTCATGTCAACTGCAGGAGAAAGGAATTTGTGAAAGATTTGTATATGCCTCGAAGAATTGAAGATGTGGGTTAAAATTGTTAATTATGGACGTAAAATGTCATAGTTCCTACTTTTTAGGTGAACAGATACAAAAAAAGGTCCTCAAGGCAGGAAAAAAATAGTGGTTACTGATTCTGAAATTTTTTGTCAAACATACACATGCGGTTTTTGTGCTGTGTATCCACTTTCGAGCGTTTGTTCGGCAAAGTTGTGACTTGTTCAAGATACGGGAAAGTGGAAGTTTAACGTTCGCGAAGTACAGCGCTTACGTTCCTACATCTTCATCTGCAATTTGTATTTTGAAAACTATTTTGTATAATATTGCATTAGGACGTATTTGAATTTGTTGCAACATGGACCAACATGAATTATTGTAGGTTGTACGAGCTCACCTAATTTTAGGGAAAAAAACTTCGCCTTGTAGAACAACAGAACGAATCAAATGCATTTCCTCTTACTATAATTTTGTTGGTTGCCACAAAATGTCGGGCTCAAATAGTTCTGCCATCAGAAAAGGTGTCGCCCCCTATAGAGGCAAATAAATTTTTTGTTGTGCTTCCGACCAAAATAAATATAATGATTATACATGTGTGATACAATGTGTCTGTCTCAATTGTACTCGTTCAGGCTACAGATAGATAAGGCACAGGATCAGTCATTCCAATACAGCGTAGGAAGAATCTTTATGGTAATTTTATTCCAGCATCAAAAGAAAAAAAGAAAAAAAGATTCATGTCTCATTAACTATTGAAAAGATCAAAATAAGGTATAATAAGCCAAGGATAACCTTTACATATTGGTTTTTGTAAGATTAAGACACAAATTTACATTCTAATCTAAATTGATATTAGAGATTATTTTAAAATGATATTAGAGTTTATTCTAGATTTATTAATTAGTCATCTACCATATTATCTACAAGTGGAAATAATTATTTTCGTTAGTCAGGTTCTAAGATTAACATGTGTGTGTCTCTTTTCAGTCACTAAGCAATTTGTAGGGCAAGAATGCATTGATCAATCAGACTTTACATACATGGAGGCAAACACTGCCGTACTCGCCGAAATATGTAAGCATGGAATAAAGTATCAGAAACTTTTATATTTTTATTTTTAAAAAATGCACTCCAAAAATGGTGAGTTATTAGTATAAAAACATCCCCTACTGGGTCTGAGTAATCCTCAGATCAACCAACTACTTCCTGGATCTTTCTTCACACGAATCTTGGCCATTTTCTCCCTACATTTAAGAGCTTCTTCCCATTTTCCCTCTCCAATGTAAATGTTTGAAAGAAGAATATACGAAGCATGATCAGTGGGATTCAATTCTAACATCTTCATTGCACATTTTTCTCCAATTTTTGTGTTGTTATGATTCCTACAAGCACTTAGTAATGTTCTCCATGCTGATTCACGTCCATCCTTTTGCACTATCCGGTAAGCTTCCTCTAGCCTTCCAGCCCGGCCATAGGCATCAACTAAGCACGAATAATGCTCAGACTCTGGCATAATCTTGTATTTGTTGATCATCAATGTAAAAAAATACAAAGTATCTTCTACATAACCCGAGTGGCTACAAGCTGATAGCACAGCTAAGAAAGTTACATGATTAGGGGTCAAACCATTCTTCTCTAACTTCTCGAATACTTCTATTGCTTCTTGTGCTTTTCCATGATGAGCATATCCACAAATCAAGGCATTATAAATTACTTCATTTGGCTCTACTTGCTCACCAAAAACTTTCTCTGATTCCTCCATGGTTCCACATTTAGCATACATATCTATAATGGAACTTCCAACATATACATCATCATTGTACCCACACTTTATAGCAAAAATATGGAGTTGTTTACCCGCATTTAAAGCTGAAAGTTGTGAGCAAGCCGAAATGCATAGTGGAAGGCTATAACTGGTAAAAGTGATGCCATCAGCCAACATCTCTCTGCATAGTTCTAAAGCTTCTGATTTCATCCCATTTTGTTTGTAAGTTCCAATTATAGAACTCCAAGAACCATCATCTTTATAGACAATGTCAACAAAAGCTTTAAATGCATCACCAATTTGTCCACACTCGGTGTACATGTGGACTAATGCATTACCAACCAAAGTATGATGACTTAGACTTGACTTCACTATAAGTGAATGAATTTGCCTACCTGCAGGCAAATCTGATTTATTCTCGCAAGACTTTAAAACAGCAACTAGGGTGGCACCTTGAATTCTCAAAGTGGTCAACGTGCGAAGTTCTTGTAATAGTTTCATAGAGGGACCAGAACCCCACCCCGGCCGAGCATGAGCCAAGATCATTGTGTTCCATGCTACAATATCTTTATCAACAATTCTTCTGAACAACTTTTCCACACCCATTAGTTCACCGAAACTAGCATAGAGAGTCAACAACACACTTGCTACAAAACAATCATTTTGATGCCCACTTTTTATCATTTGGCCATGCACTTGAATTCCTGTGTTCCAGTCCTCTAGTTCAACACAAGCTTTCAGAGTACTCGATAACACATGCTGATCTGGTCTCACCCTTTGTCTACACATTTCCTTGAAGAAATTCACAGCTTCCTCCCCTCTGTTATTCATGGTATAGCCTGAAATGATAGAACTCCAAACAAAACTATCCTTCTCCTCCATGGAGTCAAAGACTTTCCAACAAGAACTCACATCCCCACATTTGGCATACAAGTCAACCAGAGCACTGCCCACCACAACATCAACTTCAGCACCAAACTTAGCCACAAGCCCATGAGTTTGCTTTAGCTCTTCCAACGAAGAACAGCACTTGAGTAAGCTAACAAAGGTACTATCATCAGGCTTCAATCCTTGGACCCCCCACATCTCAGAAAACAACCTATGAACCATGCTAAAGTCACCAACATGAGCAAACCCAGTAATCATAACATTCCATGTAACAAGGTCTCTCTCCAACAAGTCATGAAAAGCACGACATGCATCACCGAGATCACCACCATTGTTAAAGTACATGTACACAATAGAGCTCCCAGCAAACTTGTCTCTCTCAAGCCCAGAGCGAATGAGAAGGCCATGAATCTGCAAACCCACGTTCCACAATGAAGGAGTGGCACAAGCTCGAAGCAGGACAGAGAATGTGTACTCATTGGGCCTCTCATTCGCTGCACGCATGTGATTGAACATCTCAAAGGCTTTTGGAAGTGACCCAGTTCGGAGATGCGCGGAAATTAAGGTTGTCCATGTGACAACGTTCCGGTGAGGCATTTTGTCGAACAGGAGGTGGGCATGGCGAAAGTGGCCAAATTTGGCGTAGAGATTCAAGAGGGTGTTGGTTAAGTGAGTTTGTGAAATGCATTGGGAAACTATGAGCTTTGTGTGGATTTGGTTGCACTCCCTTAGCGTTATGGGGTTTGAAGTCTTTGCAAGAGACACTAAAAATGGTTCAATCACACCACGCCCTTTGATTCCCACTTCTGTGTCAAACGCTGCGTGCCGGATCATTCCAATTCCGCGATCATCAAAGTTTCCACTTTACAGGATTTTGAATGTGAATGTGTCCATTTCTCAAAATGTATTATTCAGTGGCAAAATCCCACTCGTTGTCTATTTAAATGACATATTTTTTTAAATTTTTTAAAAATCATTCACTTTTTTTTATAATAAGGTCATAAAAGAAATAACTTATATGTATGTATATATGTTATACATGTGTATATTATTCGTTTCTAATTTACGTATAACAATGCTGTATTTTTTTTATAAAAAATTTTATTGCTCTTCAATTTTAAAAATAATAAATTTTAACCTCATTCTTTAAAATTATTTTTTAAAGTTAATATATTTTTTAAATTACAACACATATAATATTTATGGTATAATTTGAAAGTTAAAATTGAATAAAAGAATCAAGAATCATTTAATTATTGGTGCTTGTGTTAATAATTTGTTATACAAATGATATTATTTTATTTAAGAGATTGGGTGTATCACTAAGATAAATAACTAAATAAGAGAAGTCAATGTCCACTTAAAAGTCAAATGAGGTTAGTGCAATTTTTTCTTATTAAATACATGTAAATATGATATTATTAAATATGTATTATTCAAAATATATATAAATATGTATTATTAAATAAAATATTTAAAAGAGTCCAAATCACTTGAAATTAGATATGTATGATTATAGAGTGTAATATAATTGATATTCAATTGAATCGATTAAATTTATATTTTATAAAAAAAATATTAAAGATGCCATTTATTAATTTGAAATCATCGTTAATTTCAAATCATGTTGCCAACAAATCTTATCTTTTTATATGTGAGTGTATAAAAAAAATCATCTAACTGACCATATTTTTAAGAATTATCATATATAGTTGATCATCCACTAATAATAAATGTTAACCTCATTGTACCGTGTTTCAAACTTTGTAATAAAATATTAACAAAGTGTAAACGTGATGTATTTGAAGGGAGGAAACTAATCATCAAGGTCCCAAGATTTAGAGACATAATTCGTGAAAAAAATTACTTGGAGATAAAATTTGTCAAAAGAAAATAAGTTAAAAATACAAAGTGCAATTATCATTTATGGTAATATTCTATTTTCTTTTAAAGAAAACCATGCCACTTGAAGAAAAAAAATACTGTAAAGAGTTACATCATATATATTATATTAGCACTCTATTAATATTTTGACAGATAATTGACTAGACAATATAAATAACTAAAGTTCCAAAGTTTAAAAACATAATTTGTGAGGAAAATTATTTTAAAAAATCGTCAAAACATGAAATTTTAGAAGAGAAAAAATGTAATTAAATCTAAATACTTTTGAAAATTTCTTTTAATATCTCATCAATTTTAATTTTTTTAAAATTTTATATTAATTATCTAAAATATTATTAATAATTTAAAAATGTTCTTATTATAGTATAAATTATTTATTATAAGTTTAAAATATAATTCATATATTTAAAAATATTTATTTATTACAAATTTTACTATAGTATACTTTATATTAAAATAAGTTATTTATTATAAATTATAACTATATATAATAAACATTTATAATGTGCATTACGTCCATGCTAAAATGTTAATTGATAATAAAATAATATAATTATATATAACTATCAAATGATTAACTTCAAGATACTTAATAATTTTATTATTATTAATTACAAATCTTATATAATCATATTTATTTATTTTTAATTGATAAAATTAATTAATCTTAATTTAATAATTATAAGATATGTCTTGTGATACAAGGAGTTGATCTTGTGTTTTTAGAATTTATTCTTGAAAGTATTTAAATAATATTTTGTCAGTAAAAGTCATGCACTCATGTCTTGCGGGTGTAAGTTAATCTTTGTTGATTAGTTTTGAATACTACAAAAACTATGTTCATTAACAAAAGAAAAATATTTATGCATGTAACTAATTGTGTGTGATAATTAATAATCTCATGAAAGTA